AAACACTTTTTTTCCCTAAGGAATATTTCTGTCTTTTCTTAAAGTTAATTTGTAACCATATCTAAAATTAAATCAGTATGTCTGCAACTTTGTTTTAAAAATCTTGGCCTAGAGCAGTAATGAAATATCTAAGGCCTTAGGCCTACCTATATCTAACTGATCCCATCCATGTATTCCTGTTTTCTATTAATACATTGGGAAAAGGAAAACCTATATTAAATAGCACACAATTAAATTTTTCTCAACAGGTTGTTTTTCCCAGTAGGCATTCTTTCCTAAGAGATCTTAAAAGTGTATTTTCTTTTCATCTTCAATGTGAAAATATTTTAAACTTTACAGATGTTAAATATTTTTAACAGGTTGTATTTTCTGCTAAGCATTTAATTGCAGAGATTAATTACTTGTAATTTATGCTTCTAGAAAATAATCTGTAATCTATTTTAACAAACAAATTACATAGTATGGTTGACTTTACATAAAACTTTATAAAAATGGGCATTTGTGTCAAGGCAGTGTTTGCTCCTGCAGAGTTTTTGTGGGCAGCCTTAGTGGAGATGGATGCAGTCTCTTAAAATGTAGCCTGCATGTGAATGGCTTAAGATTTTCCAGAAAGGAAAATAGGTCTTAGTCATATTGCCTTTCAGAGACAGCTATTCTGCCTGCGTTTCTGGATCTTACTTTATTTAGTAAGTATCATGGCTGGTATTTCTCATCTTTTCTATCATCAGCTAGTTGTGATCCGCTTTACTGTGTGCAGGTTTGGATGTCAGCTCATTTACTCTCGCTGGCCAAGCTCTGCAGTCTGAACCTTGGGAGCTTTTGATTTGCTTCATTTGTTTGGACTTGTTTTCTTCCCCCTGCCCTTCCTTTGTTTTACAGATAAGGAAAAACTTAAAGAAAAAACTGAACAAAGTCTGCTTTGCTTAGATTCAGTGCATGCTCTTTGTTGCTCCATGAACAAAAAAGTCATTCTGCAAACTGGTGCTTGTTGTGGAGGACTTCTGCGTAGCTTCATGGATCTTGTTGTTTTAACAAGTCCCAGTGATGATTTTACTATGTTTCATGATTTTTACTTCATTTAACTGAATGTGTTGACATGGTTTGATGGTCTTGTTGATATGTGCCTGGACATTCAGAATGCCAAGATAAATGGGAAAAGGCTTTCTTAAGCAAACAAAGAATTGGATCAGTCCTTCACCTGGTCATTGTTTAGCCCTGGTCTGATTTTTCCCTCAGTACTTTTGGAGTTAAATGTGAATTTCTTCTCCATGGCTGTATTGTAACTCAACTTTAACTGTGCAGCAAGGGGAAAGCAGTATCAACTGCTAGCTGTGTGAGTGTGTATTTTGGTATAGGAAGGAAAACACCACCTGGCAGAGTAAGAGCAATTGGAAAAGGTCAGCAGTTTTGGTTCTTGTTAGAATTTGACCATCTTCTCCAGCATGACCTTTCTTCACTAAATTTCCACTACATAGTTCCCCACCCTTGTCGTCTCCATTAATTGCACTTTGATTTAAGAGTTTGTCTCATTTGCTGAGACATTTACAGTAAATAAAGGTTAACAGTATAGATTTTTTTTTTTTAACAGCAGGCTCCAGATATTTAAATGTGTCAGACTTGATGATAAATTGATGTAATCTCTAATAATGACATACTAAGAAGGGTAAGTATCTTTAGAATTCAAAAGGGATCCTGCTCTTACCATTTCTCAAGCATGCCTGCCTGATTTCAGCCTTTGGACGCTTGTGGGGATAGAAGATGGATGCCAACTTAACAGTTCTATTCAAATGACAAATTAGCTTCCTTGAAAAAAAAAAATACTTAAGGCCCATTTGTTTTATTTTCCCTCCTTCAGGTCCGATGATGACAATGCAGATGACAGGAGTTCCAGGGTGACCAGACTTTGCACTTACTTTCAGCAGAAATACAAGCACCTCTGCCGCCTGGAGCGGGCAGAATCTCGTCAGAAGAAATGCCGGCATACACTCCGGAAAGCCTTGCTGCAGGCGGCCAGCAGAGAGCCGGAGCGTGCTGGGCAACTGATACAAGAACTCCGAAGAGCTACGTGTGCTCGTACCAGGTTAGACCTTCCCCTGTGCCTTCCCCTGTGACTGCAGTAACCCGGGGTCTGGACGGGGTGGAGATGGGCAAAGTATCCAGCAGCTGAACTGCTGAACTCTGAAGCTGGTAGGCATGCACAAGGCAGAAAAACCATGACACATAAATGCCTGTCAGTGGAGTAAAATAAACATGACATACAGTGTTTTCCATGAAGACAGGCATTCTCCAGCTTTGTGTTTTAAAATGTGGATTGTTTGTTCAGCAGTATCCGGGCCCAATTTCTTAAATGTCACGAAAGAAGTTAGTGGCCTGCTAAAGTTTATTCTTATTGATTAATCTGTGTATTTTGGCTGCCTTCAAATATCTGGTACTTTACTAAGCCCAGTTCTTTAGAAGGTGTGCAGTCTGGTCTGCAGTTCACTGCTTCAATTCAGATTTCGTTTTTCAGACAGCTTTTTTTGAAAAGTCTGTACCTCCTCTTAATTCTCTTCCCAGCAAATCAAACTTAATCTTGCGCTTTTTGTTAGATTTAACTCAATCTAACATTAAATGAAACTTGGCAACAAAATAAATATCTTCTAACAACTCTGAAGGTTACCTTCTGTGGGAATTCTTTCTAGATAATGTCAAAATCCCTCCAGCTCTCTGCATGCTGAGAGTTGGTTGATTCATATTTGTGCAGAAACAGTAAGTCTGAACCCTGGCGTTATGTCTGGGGTACCAGCAGCACCCTTTTGCTGTTGTGGTTTTGCTTTACAGGATGTGTGACTGTGAGGGGTAGGGGAGGCTAACATGAGAGGCAGACTGGAGCAGGATACTGAGAATATATTCTGGTTATGGGATGCTTTTGTTCCTGGTGGGCTGTTGTTCATGACAGTGGAGGGTTTATTGTTGGAGAGGTGGAGTGATGCTGAAGAGCTGCTCAGAGGTGTAATGTAGAGGTACATTACTAGTTTACAAAGTTATGTAAATGTCTCCAAACTTAAACTACAGCAAAACCTTGCCCAGAACTGGCAAGCTCTTGCTAGTTTTTTTCCCATTATTTTCGCCTTTTATTATGCAAGAAAGATTACGTTGTTTTGGGTAGACTGGCAAAGCCAGGTATGCCTGTCATCACTGCTCTGGTTAATTTAAGTAACCACAGAGTCTTTCAGTTACTAAATTTTTCACAGGAGTACTATTGCTAACTAAAACTTTGCTCAGTCAAAGTGCAGTCGATGACAGAAATGGCTGAAGAAAAACAGTCAGGCTACAGACAGCTTTTTGTCAACCTAGAAAACAACGTGTACAGAGGTGAAATTCAGCCCTGGAATCGCCAGCTTTATCTACATGAAGGTGACAAATGCCTTGAGAGCAGGCTAACACCGTGCGAGCTGTGTAACGCTTGCAGTACTCATCCACACTGCTGTCTGGTCGCCTGCTTGCAGCTCAGGCTCAAAGCATTGAGGCTGTGCTGAGGAAGTGCTCAGCTCCGGGCACCTGGTGGTGTATTGGACTGTAGCACGTTGATGAAGGAGAGCTTTTACCCATGTTGAGCACGCTCAGGCTCTGCCGCTCCAGAGCTCAGTCTAAGTTTGTCTGAGCACATGCTTGCATGTAAGCTCTGGGGATGCTCGGAATGTTTTGATTTATGAAAAGGCTTGGAAATGCACTTGACTGCCCATGTAGGCATACCCAATACATTGTATTCTAAAGATTGACCTCATTTGAAGGGTCACCTGTGTTGACACTCACCTACTGCTGTCCTTGGCTCTGTTGCAGGGTGTTGTAATATTTACATGGTAGTAGCACACAGCACCTCTCATTACAAATAAATGAATGTGAAATAAACAATAATCCTGTTACTGCAGTCACATCTCACCTGTCATTGACATCTATTCTGTATCCCTGTGTAGAGTCTGGTAGTAGTGTGCACCCATCTGGATCATGACACACACGCGTGTGTTACAATTTTTCATCCTACTGTGCCACATTCAGTGCAATAGGTGTGCTAAGTAACCACCTGAGACTGGGTTTTTGTCTCTAAACTCTTCTATGCTTTTTTTTCAGCACAAGCCAAGTGAGGCAGAGAGATGCAGAACCAACAACTTGTAGTGGGACTTTGAAGGGAGAACAGTGCACTAACAAGGCCCTTCCATTCACCAGGCATTGTTTTCAGCGTATCCTCTTAACTCTGTTTGGGAGTTGCATTCAGGCATGGAAACTGTTCTGTTTTAGGGGGTTTTGTTAGGTTTTTGCACTGACAAATATGTTTTCACAAAAAAATACCTATTTGTTAGTGTCTTATCAACTACTTTGCTCTTAATTTGTCTGTGTGATTTGTTTGTGTAGACAGTGAAGATAAGTAGTTTGCCACTGGTACCTATCGTAGTCACATTGTTTTACTTTGTAAGCTGTATTTAGTAGGTGCAAGAAGCCTTTACAAAAATGATCATCTTTCACTGATGACTTGGTACAAGCCACGTGGCTTTCAGCCTCATGGCTTTCATACAGTTCGTGGTAGGTAGACTAACTACCTGTGAAGGGTTTATGGGAGCAATTTTTTACACATAGTATAAAAAGATGGCTTACACTGACTAGAAAGATGGAAATCTGATACTTTGCGTTGTTTAAAGCAGCAGAATAGGAGGAGTCACAGAATCCAAATTCTAGATGAGGAAGAATTTCCAGTGCTGGGGATTTCAAGCAAAGCCTGAAAAGGATTTTAAGAGTCAATGCATGAAGGTCGCAGAAAGGAGGGAGCACATTAGATGTAAGGTTTGATTCTGAAGGCTATAAACAGACAGACTTCTGACCTGGAATACTTAAGAATTCTGCAGACTTTGTCTCTTTTGTTTTTAGCTGAAGAATTGTTGGTGCTTTTGTTGGAGTGACTCCTTTTGTTCGAGCTTTTGGTTTTGGTATTTTATGTAACTGGTGCTGATCTGTTCAGTTGCTATCAGACTGCAGTACCTTTTCAATTTTTTTGGTTTGCAGATGCCTTGTTTTTCTTGGTTGATTTTTGCAGGCCCCTTAAAAGTAGTCTGCAGAGCAGTTCAAAACCTCTCTATGAGAGAGCATCATGGTGTGCAGCTGTGTTTGGGATTTGCCTCATGATTCTGATTTTTTTGTTTTGGTTTTTTTTAGAGTTTAAGTGGTCTTGCTTGTTGGTGTGTGTAGAGCAGAGAAGTCAAGACTAGTGATTTTGCATTTGTGCCCATTTTTTCCCCTCTGCACTGTCTTCTCAATGAAACAGTCTCTTCTAAAATGAGCAGGCTCTTCGTTCTGACCCATCCGTCCAAGCCTGCCATCTGGACTGTTCTGCAGGTTTTCCATTTTCTTTGTCCTTTCTTTTGCGTTTTAACATTTTCTGAACATACATAGTGATGTTGAGGTCTGAGAACTGTTCAAGATGGAAGGAGTGCTTCTAATGTTTGAAAAAACACAATGAAATATCTGTTTGATTTGCTCTAAGTCTGGAAACACTTTCACTCCTGCAGGGGATTTTTCTGAAGGAAATCTCAGCAAGCTTACATTTGGATTTACTTGACCTTTCTTTCTGATTGCACATCTTTTTTTCAGAGGAACAGGAAGGATCTTGAAACTTCTTTGTCTGTGCTCTAAAGATAAATGCCAAGAATGTACCTTAAAAGATTGAATTAAGAAATACTCTTTCTTTAATGTTTCAGTATGGATTGTCATTAGTCTGTAAGGAAATAGTCCTGTTGACTACACTGTTCCAACTGCTACTATTGATCTATTGATTAAGACTCCAGGAAAAGGCTTCTTTTGCTAAGAACTCATTAGTGAAATGGCTGCTTCCATAAAACTATCTCAATATATAATAAAATCATTAGAGATTCTGCATGAATGCAGTTTTTCACTTTAAAAGTTGAATTTGAGCCTTACCTAGCTTTGAACTTGAATAACAAAGTTAAGGTACTCATTAAAAATAGCATCTATGGACAGGTAGAGTTGAAGGCTCTGATCTTCATCAGATTGATAAATCAAAGGGCGTTCCTCCATCGTTGCCTCGTGTGTTATTCCTGATGCAGAAATGCACAGATATCTTATTGAACCGTTCTCAGCAGCTCTTCTCAAGTTGCACAGCCAAGTTTGCGGATGGTCAACAGTGCTCTGTGCCAGTTTTTGACATTACACATCAGACACCTCTGTGCGAAGAACATGCCAAAAAAATGGTAAGTACAAAGCCAAAACTGTAATTATTTGTGTATTGGGATGATCAGGAGTTTTAGCCTCAGTCTTCCTATGAACTCTTGCTTGACAACTAGCAAGTTTATGAACTTAAGAGCTCGTTTCCTTTTATTTTTCTTAAGAGGGTAAAACATGCCAAACATTCCCAATTAGTATAAAGTGTGTTGTGAAAATCTTTTACGTACTTTTGAGGATATAATAAAGTGTGCATGAGAATATCCTTTACTGGAAGAAATTTGATTCCTCTCTTGAATCAAGAAATAGAAAATCATTGTGAGAGATCCTGTGGTCATTTTGTTTGGGCTCACTCCTGGCCCTTGGATCTGAATATAGTATGCGTGTGGTATGGTAGGAACACTGCATCTCAAACAGGCTCAGTACATGGGGCCCAAAATATTTTCTAGAGGAAGTCTAGACAGCAATTACAAGCATACAAATAATGGTTTTGCTGCTGTATTTACTTTTTGGTGACTATTAGAATTTATCTTTAAACTCCTTCAGGGATCTGTGCCTTCCAGAGGAAAAGCAGTGGCCTACTACAAGTTGAGAGAATGCAGAAATTAAGATGATGTCCTCTGCTCTCCTTTTATGACTCCCATCTTCCAGAACAAAACTTTTAGGATAATTCACAAACCCACTTCTGTCTTGCCCCTCCTTCAAGGCATAAGGCATAAAACTGTACCCCCCCCCCATTTTTTTTTTTTCTGTTGTTAGGTGGTTGTGGGTTTTCTGTTATTGTTTTTGTCCAGCCTCTCCAATAGTTGCAAATTATGAAGTTTTCTGGATTAAAATGTGAGGGTCTGCACTACGCAGATTTGTATGGGATTTTCCCGCTCTCCCAGGCAATCTTCAGTGTGTCTCTCAAGGTTTACTTCTGTAGCACGTACAATCCCAGTATGGTGGCAACTGAAAATTGATGATGGTTTGGTTTATTTTTTAATTGGCCAATGATTGCCGTTCCAAAGCAACGATGCCTTAGTTGTTTACCCACATCCTTACCCTAGCCCTACAGTATTAGTTCCGTTTTCTCAGTGCTGTCCCTCTCTTATGGCACTGGGCACTTGAGGATGCTGGCTTCAGCTACTGATCACTATCCCCATTATCGCCACCTCACAACAGTGTTCTGTCTTTAATACTTACAGGAATGCTGCCAAAGGTTACAGTTTTGCACTGATTTAGTTAGGGTTTGCTATGATGATTTTTAAAGTGACACTGCACAATCTCCTATTTATCATACCTCATAATTTGGTCTATGTGATTTTTGCCATTGGGATCAATGAGGAAGGAAACAGCTTAATTTTTGTAACCTTGCCTGGATGTAAGCTAGCAGTCTCTCTTGCATTACATATGAATGTCTGTGGAATGACCAGGGGGGAAAAAAAGCAAGGAAAGTAATACTTGTTCTTAATATACTCCCATTGCTATTGTTCTATTCCCAAAGGACAATTTCTTGAGAGGGGACAGCTCCCGTAAAGTTCAGCACCAGCAGCAGAGGAAACCCAGGAAAAAAACAAAGCCACCTGCACTTACCAAAAAACACAAGAAGAAGAGAAGGCGAGGCCCACGTCGGCCCCAGAAACCCATTCCTCCTGCAGTGCCCCAGGGGAACCTTACCATGCCTGCCAGTGTCTCACTGCCAGTAGAGATGCCCCACATAAGGTCAGTGGTAGCCCTGCCCCAGTTTGCTCACTGCTAGCTTGAACGTTGTCAATGAGCACTGTAGAAAGGTGTGATGTTGCTGTGCTGATCAGCATCTGGAGCGGGAATAGAAATTGCATCTCCATGTTATTGTTGGAAAAAACCTTAGAGTGGGTCATTTTAGATTTGAGCAATTATTGAATTTGATGGATAAAATATCTTGCTCCTGATGCCCATCTTATGTATTTAATCAATAGGCTAAGTGTAAGCTTCCTAGAGAAACTTTCTAAAAGCATTTTTTTCCTAGATGATGGGGAGGAAAAAAAAAAAAGCTGTGGGGAAACACCCATTATAGATGGATATGCATTCATAGTTGCTGTTTGGAGGAATCAGAGTTGAATACGGTGGACTAACGGTACTTTCTGTCCAGGAGCCCCTCCACACCAGAGCTGAGTGCCGATGAGCTGCCTGATGATATCGCCAACGAAATCACAGACATTCCACATGACTTGGAATTGAATCAGGAGGACTTCTCAGATGTCCTGCCGCGGCTGCCCGATGACTTGCAAGATTTTGATTTCTTTGAAGGTACCATTTTATTTTATGCTAACGTGAACCCAGTCAGTGAGCTGAAGAAGAGAGTGTTTCTAAAATGCATTTTGAGGGGTTGCTTGCTTTCCTACAGAGGTAATAACTTCTAGAGAAGGAAGTGTGCATTTGCTCTATTGTTTGTTTGTAAGCTCTGAAGTAAAGTAGTCTTTAAGAAGACTGGTGTGTGTAGTTCTCTGCTTGCTCTTAGAATTACAGCTCTGAAAATCCTAATTGGTTTAGTATTTTAATAATTCATTTTATGTTTTTACTGCCTGTCAGTGCTGCAGTTTAATCAAGAGTATTCTCAGTAATGGCACCTTTCTGCCATCGAGTGGGGCTGGAATCACAGTTAATGTTGGCTTTTGATAAAAGGAGAAGAGAGTGAGAATAAAATCTTTAAATACATTTTTGAAACTAGCTTTTGATCAGAAATGTGCCTGAATTTCTGGATTCTGAAGCTCAGTACCTATCACAGATAACAAAGAAATTAGAACAGCCCAGAGTTGGGGTATGTGATTTCTTTGGTCATTTTCTGATATGACATGACATCAGACTGTGTTCGAGTTGAAATTAACCTAAATTATACTGACTGTGTAAATTTTAGGTCCAGGCTGTAATGTGGTAAGTAGAAGGGAGTTTGTGGACTACTTGTGTTGCTGCAGCACTGAAGAAAATCTTATTTAAGCATTTTTACTTTAAGTCTAGTGAGTTCGGGAGGCATCTTGTATTGTAGTATGTGGAAGAGGAGGGCGGAGAGAAGGAATTCCATTGATGAGGAAGGTGTAATTTCTTGTTTTTCTTACCTTGCTTACTGAGTGAACACTGGTGAAGGAAATGTTTTGTGTACCACAAGCCATTCTAGAAGGTTATACACTGCAGCTCTGTACTGAACTGTCTGTACATCTGCATCCTTAGAGTGCTGGTGCTGGGCTCACCTGAGAAGAGCATGCTAACTTCTGGTGTCCCTGTTTCTGCAGGTAAAAATGGAGATCTCCTTCCGACCACAGAAGAGGCTGAAGAACTGGAACGGGCCCTGCAGGCTGTAACTTCTCTTGAGTGCCTGAGTACCATTGGAGTACTTACACAGACAGATGGTGTGCCAGTTCAGGAGCTGTCAGATAGAGGGATAGGGGTGTTCTCTACAGGTGCTGGAGCTCCAGGAATGCAGTCCTTGAGTCGAGAGGTTAACACGGATCTGGGGGAGCTGTTGAATGGGCGTATAGTACATGATAATTTCTCCGGTCTGGAGCTGGATGAGAACTTGCTCCGTTCTGCTACCTTGTCCAACCCACCTACGCCCCTGGCAGGGCAGATCCAGGGGCAATTCTCAGCCCCAGCCAACGTCAGCCTTACTTCTGCCACTCTCATAAGCCAGAGTGGCCTTGGGGAGAGAGCCTTCCCAGGACAGTTTCATGGACTTCATGATGGCAGCCATGCCTCCCAGAGGCCCCACCCTGCCCAGCTGCTGAGCAAGGCAGATGACCTGATCACCTCACGACAGCAATACAGCAGTGACCATTCACACTCCTCACCCCATGGAAGCCATTATGATAGTGAGCATGTGCCGTCTCCCTACAGTGACCATATCACATCCCCTCACACCACATCCTTTTCTGGTGATAACTTGGCAGCTACCTTCTCAGCAGAGATGCCCATGATGGCACAGCACTTGCTCCCAACTCAGCTGGATGTGCCACTTAGCGGGGTGGTCAACCCCAGAACTCACTGGGGAAATCTTCCTGTCAATCTTGGGGACCCCTCTCCGTTTAGTAACCTTCTTGGTGCAGATGGACACCTCCTGTCCACCTCCCTGTCCACACCACCTACCACCTCGCACTCAGAGACCACACAGCCTGCCTTCGCCACCGTGACCCCCAACAGCTCCAGTGTGCTTCCGGGGTTACCGCAGACCAGTTTTAGTGGCATGGGTCCTGCCTCTGCTGAACTCATGGCCTCCACCTCCCCTAAACAACAGCTCCCTCAGTTCAGCGCGGCCTTCGGGCACCAGCTGAGCTCCCACAGTGGCATCCCCAAGGACCTGCAGCCCAGCCACAGCTCCATAGCTCCTCCCACGGGCTTCGCAGTGACCGGTGCCACCGCTACCAGTACCAATAACGCATCCGCGCCCTTCACCACCTCCAACTGAGCTTGTCTGCCTGGCTCTGTGCAGGTAGATGGGGGACCTGTGTTTTCTATCTTCCCTTTTTTCCTTTTTCTTTATTTTTTCTGTCCTCCCTTCCCTTTTTTTTTTAAGAGGGGGTTGAGAAGAAAACCCCTGCTTCAGTACTGACCAGGGTTAGCCCTCTGTGAACCTTGCTGTAGCGTTCACATGTGCTTGTTACGCACCGGTGCTCATTTATTGCAGGCAGGTTCACTGTTCCCCAATAATTCCTTAAGGATACAGCACAGTTACTGGATGTAATTGATCTTAGCAGTAAGACCTAGAAATGGGAAGATACCTCAGAGTACTGATGCATGTTACTGTTTCCTAGGGTTCAGATCAGTGCTTGCCATCTGACTAACATCTGGTAGAAAGTTTTCCAGCGGGCAGAATTCTCTTGATTTTTTTTTTTTTTTAATTTACTTTTTTTCCAAAGGTAGCATCTGGCATGGAAAATTTGGCTGCACGCATTGATTTGAGAATGGTGCACTGAAGTCCTAAATCAAGATCATGGCTCAAGGATGAGTTTGGCAGTTTCTTAAAATAGTCTCTTGACCTCCTCTGTGTGCGTGTGTGTGTTTGGTGTGCAGGGAGCAGCAGTTTCTTTTCTTCTTTTGGTGAAGAAGTGGGAGTTGTCCCCTTCCAGAACTGGTCACTGTTCTTACTGCATGCTGATTTTTGGTTTTTTATTATGATGATTTTTAATTCATTGAGCAGCAAGGGGATCAGTTGACTGGTTGCCCAGAATCTGAAGGCTAATACAAAGTTAGCCCAGGGAAAAAAAGAAAGAAAAACCAGAAGGATTGAAATAGATCATGGATTAGTGAAGATTCCTGTGCAGAAATTCCCTCCCTTGCTGAATTACTGTGGCCTTGTAGCATTGATGATTTGCCTTTTCAAGTGTGGCTTTGTCCAGAACTCCTTGTCTGACAGGCTGACAGGTATTTCCCAGCTGAAACTGGAAGAATTTGGTTGGTATTCTGCCCATCCACACAAGTCTAGGTCAGACCCTTTGGTAAGTTTCAAATGGATGCATTTCTCAAATTACGTCTAGCTACTGAGACTTCCTTGGATATTTCCTTTACCCCCCCCCCCGGGGCCCTTATAGTTTTTTTGACACTTGGAGGGTTTGATGCTCTGTATGGGAAGCTGAATGTACGTAAGGAACTAGCAGGTACCTATCAGCAGTCATGGCTAACCAAAAGAGAAATCACTAAAGCAAAATAGGTAAGATTTCTTTCTGTCTGCAGGGCAGTTTTGCTTTTACTGTCCACCTGTTAAAGATAGTATTCAGACTCTTTGGTAGTAATTTCAGTTCTTAAAGAAAGGAGTCCACTAGCTTTTAGATTTTTTATTTTATTTTATGTTTTTTAATCCAAGAGATAACAGCAGCAGAAATTCTGAGGTGTTTACTTGCATCTCTTTATCAGGAAGAGAAAAAAGGAATTTGCTTGTGACTTTATAGGGCTCAAACTTGCTACTGTACTCTGACTTTGACTGTAAAAGTAGCTCCTACTTAATATAACAAGTCTTTACTCTTCTTGGTTTGTTTCTGAGATGCAGACAAGAGAGAATAGAAAATCCACATTTCAGTCTCTTACTGTAGAAGGCAGATTTCATTCTACCTTACAGTAAAATGTCCTACCTGCATGTATTCTAGTCTAATTCAGGAAATTAAGAGATACCAAGCACATACAATAGGGAGGCCTAACAAATTGTTTGAGCAAAGGATCGTTGAACGAAGTTTAGTTGCTATAGAAATTCATTTTGTTAGCAGTCAGGCCCACACCAAAATCTCTGACCCAAACCTCTCCTTCCATCTTGCTAAGGAACAGAATTTAAACAGGGTAGGTCTTGTGTCTTCTTACTATTGTAGCAATCATACTATCCTTCTTTTCTTGAAAGATTTGTTCTCCTTAAATATAAAGGAGTATGGATGATGCATATGTCCTTTTCTGAAATTGCAAGTGTATGTGGGTGGAGGAAACAAAAATGATTTTCATGCTTCTGTTGTTATGAAGTCCTTATTTCATACTTGGTAAAATAGATCTTAATAATATAAGCCGAATATTTTTAAGTGGTGATTTAAATATGTTTGTAACATTTAAATGTTTTTAAATCATGTAAAAAGTTGAATTGAAGCCTATGAAATCCTGCTTGTGATTGTCCTGCTGATTGAGGAATGCCCAGTGGTATTGTGAAATGAGGCAAATCTGACAAGGCATTTATTTATTTTTGTATTATGTTCCCCATACTTTGTTGAGGAGACAACTGTTTGATTTGCAAATGATTTTCGTTGTGTCCATATGCCTTCTTCAATGTGTTTGGATGACTGGCTGAAAAAGAGTGGAGAACTAGTATACCAAATGGTTAATTCTTTAATCTGCTTGTGTATTCATGTCATTTTAGAGGATGTTAATTTCTATAAGTTGGTTTCAGGACTTTGGTCTTGAAATCATTCTCGTGCCCATCAAACTCTTCAATGAAGCTGCAGCTTGTGCAGAGTATATTTGCCCCACATCGTATTTCTCTTTCTTAGCAAATGCTGGGGGGGGGGAGGGGAGGAGAGGAACTGAGAGCCAAGTTCTGCTTGCTCATTTTGGTATAAATTACGGAGGAGCTCTTTGGTCTAAGGTCACTGTGAGTTTGTACTGGTCTAACTCAGAACAGAACCCAGCTCCTAATCTGAGCATTGATTTAGACAGGGAATTTCAAAAGCTGTCAAAGCTATGCAGGTCCATAGTTCCCATTTGAAATCAATGGCCGTTATGTACCTGCATTCCTTTAAAGCAGCCTAGGATATCAACTCTCTTCCCCTGCGTAGACTCCAATTATTTTATATCCCTTGATGACTCTTCCCTGAAAAGTGACTACATAACATTTTTCAATGAGCAAACTAAGTTTGCAATAAAGCTGCACTTTTAAAAATAAACTTCGGTTTGTATACGTTTGAAATAGGAATCCCTCTGTCCTGTCTGACACAGAGTTCTGAAATGGGCCACCACTCTTGCCTTTTCCTGGTTCACCTCTCATTTTTTCACTGCCGCCGATTTCATGGTTACAGCCTACCAAGCAGTTACGGGTCTTGATCTTAGCTTTACAAGGTGAATAATTCCAGATGGGCTTCTACACCCACACAACCTGTTGACTTCAGTGAATCAGTGTCTTACTGTTGGATGTGAGAGATCCAATCTGAGAGGTATGTGCAGTCAGAGATGTTTCACACCTCATCCTCTGGGAAATACTGCAGGTCTGGTTAAGGTAGTCCTCGAGGATGTTATTTATGTAGTTCCCGAGTAGAATCCATGCTCTCGCAGAGGTTTTTGAGTATCATCTCCTCGTATAGCAATTAGCACTCTAATCACCCTTTCACCAAAGAGCCAGTTAGCAATTTCAGTCCATTGATTTGAGATGGTCGATACCTGTCATGCCCTTTACGTGTTAACAAATGGAATAAAGCTAGTTGAACCTAAAAGTTAATTTCTTTACATAATATTTGAGTTTTAAAGAATTGAAAAAAAATTAGACTTGGAATAAAATACCAGTAACATCATTTTTGGTAATAACAGCACCTCAATTAGTCTTTGTACAAAAGTACTTAACACAACGTGAACTTTGACAGCGTACAGAGGCTCATCAGGAACAGCCTCATGCTGGCCTGGTGTATAAGGCAATTCTGTAAGACACGGTTTGACGTTTCATTTCACTTAGGAAGACTTTACGCCAACTTTGAGGGGAGCCATATGCACTTAGATACCTCAAAGTTGATTTGTTCTTTGGCCTTGTAATTACTATGGTACAAGAAGATGTATGTGTGATGCAAGAAGATGGAAAAGATGCATCATTTTGTCTCCTCCTGCCTTCCCGTTCCTCCAGGTTCTTGCTTAGTTCCCTTCTCATTAGTAGCATGCTTCTCTCTATGGTTGGGCATAAAGGCTTTAAATTGATAATGCTGAGAGGTAGCACAGCGGCAGGTCTGCCTCAGACATTGTGGAGAAGACGGCAACAGCTAGATTTCCCACTTCATTCAGCAGGTTAGTGAAATGAGGATTTGCAGTTCTCATTTGGAAAGCATTAGAAGGCCCCAAGAGGCTTATCACCTGCTAGGCAAAAATCAGAGATGGTATTGGAAGTACAAACATAAGGAAAAAAATGTCCAAGGAGAGTCATCCATAATAGCAAAGAGAAGCCAAGGGAAGTGGCTTTTTTTTTTTTTTTTTTTTTTTTTAAGAGGGAGATGGGTATTAGTTGAAAAATCGGGAAGTTCTGTTGTGAGCTGTCAGGCACAGTGTGATGCCACTGGCTTCAGGAGCGTGGCCAAGGCAAAGGGCCTAGGATTGAACCTGCAAATCAGTAGCCAAATTCAATTTGAAGCTTCATTTTGCTGTAACCACATCTAAATACAGTCTGGGATTGAATCTGCTTGCCAGTAGAGTCTCACGAAGGGGTACAGTAAACAGTGGACAGGTATCTTCCCTGAGAAGCTGGCCCTGGTGGTTACATACATGTGTTGTTAGTCTGCTTCTGAACTCCAGCTCCTCCCTGAGCTCCTGCAGCATCGTGGCTGCTGCGTTTCCTTGTAGGCATTCGCAGGGCTCCAGGGGTATTTCTTCCTGTTGTTGTGCTGCAGTGAGCTGAATCCACTGGTGAATTCTCCAACAGTGTGAGCCTTTGGGCAGGGAGGAGGGAAGAATTTTTAGAAGAGCCAGCTACCTGCAGTTGAATCTTTCAAGACTTGTAGGGCGCAGGGACGGTGGCAGGAGGTGCTTTCAGCAGACAAACAATAGAAAACTTACTGGCGGTGATCTTCTGCAGTGAGGCGTTTGTGTGGGTGTCTGGACAGCTTCCCTGGTGGGATGTTTCCTTTTGCTTTTGTATTTTTACCATTACATGTGAAGGAGTCTCCTGTGTGGGCCTGTTGCAAGGTCCGGCAGTGGTGGAAATATTAACTGAAGGAATAGTTTTGGGCTAATGTGCTGACCAGATCTTTAAGCCTTTCTGATCCTCTGGTTACAAGGTCCTTCTGATCTCTTGGGTAGCATTTCATGATGGGGTGTTGTGGGCTGCTTCTAGTACCTCCTTTATTTCCTTCCTTTTTACATTCTGCATCATTCTTTTATTCTCCCATTCTCAGATACTTCTCCAATGTAAGTAATGCCAACCAGTAAGTCTTCTGTGGTCCTGAGCGAATCTGACTGTAAAACGAAAAGGAAGAGAGATTCCTGCAATTCATAACATACATTTTGGATGCTAGAACGACAGTGCAATAATCAAAGTATTTCTCAGATCAGTGAGTAAGATGATGTTTCACAGCACACTAATATGTCATGAACTAGATGCTGAGGGTACAACATTGATCATGAGAGTGCACATGCTAGCAGTGAATGTGCAGGCATTTTTAGCAAGAGTTTACCTTCTCAGAGGTTCCTCTTAATGGGAAGTGCATCAGTAGAAAGTCACAAAGAAAAATTTAAATTATTCTTTTTAATACCTGTGAGCCCAAATAAAAGTAAGGAGGGTTGGTGGAAAAATCTACATTTGTGTTTACTAAACTTAAACTTGGACTTTAGGAGAGGTCTGGTCATGAGAGACCTTAGCTCTATCAGGTAAAGTTTTGGTTTTGTCTTTGAAACTAGACAAAAACACTGTTGTTGGGAAAGAAAAGTTTGGTGGAGGAGAAGAAGTTACAAAAGATGTGTCTTAGAACAATTTTCTCACTCATGTCTTCAGCCATCTTTAAAAAAAAAACCAAGAGTGACTGTTTTGGGAGCTTTTCCCTTTGCTGTTCTGCTACTTCTCATGGTTGTTGGGTTCTTTTCTTTCCCCTGTTTTATTCTGCTTTGACGTACTCCTTCTCTGGCTACTATGGAATAAGGTAGCGGAAACATGAAAGGAGAAAGTGGGCTTGGCTGTAGATTGACAGCAATAGTTGGAGAAGGCTTTCTTTTTCTGTCTCCTTGAAGTAAGTGTTGGCACCTTTTCAGTCTACTCTGGCTCATAGAATTCAGTTTGGAAGTGAACAGGATGAAACTTGGGCTTAAAACTGTACTTGATGTAGAAAAATGCATTCTTCCTACTCCTTCCCCTTGCTAGTCCCCCAAACACACACACAGTGAGATGTCCAGAGTACCAGCGTATCGACCGCATATGCGTATTGAACTTGGTCCAGTAATGCTAATGTTTTACCTGCTTTCTGTCGTTGTCAGCCGGTGCCCACGAAGGTGAACTCTGGATAGGTAACGTTCCCAGATATCCTCTGGAAAACTTTAACTTTGGCGCAGATCGCTCTGACGTAGCTAACTGCGATGGCGTTGGCTTCTACCTTGGAGTGGACTGATTTACCCTGAAATGACTCTCTAACCTGCGTCTTAAACGGTGTAGTTGGTTCCAGTGCAAATAGATTCATTCTGAAGTGATGGACAGTTCGATTCTCATGCAAAATAGCTACATCCTACCAGAAGGGGTTGAACCAGTTTCTCTGAACAGTGATGACCTTCACTGTACAGTTTTGGGTATGTCTCAGGGATTCCTTGTGGAAATAAGGGCAGTTAACAAAAAAAAAATAGTAAATAGTTTTAAAAGTAAATAATAATTTAAGGTAGAGCGTCACCTAAGTGAGAGCGCAAGAAGGAGAAATCTTTGTTCAATTTTGTAGTCCACGGTGTCTGGCTTAGGGACTCTTTTCTCTTCTCGGGGCTCTCATCTCAAGTTCAACATACAGAATCTTTTTCATCACGCTCAGCTTTAAACTTTTTATTTAAAGATACCCTTCCCCAATGAGCTTTCAGAATACTTATTGTAGATTTTAAGAGAAATGGTATATTAATTTATGCTATTAACATCACCTCATAAATTATAAGTTTTATACTAAAGCTGTATTGAGTGTAATGAATTATGTTGCATATGTGTTTTTAATAGCTATAAAATTATATACAAGCTTTTTTGGAAAAACAAACTAGTGAAGCACCTTTTTACACTGGATCTTTGCCGTGTCAAGGTGTACAGCTATTCTTTGCTACCTTGCAGATATCTATATCTATATATAGATATATATATATAAAAATAAAATGGTATCCTGTATCAACAAAGCATAGAACTCTTTTTAACCCTTATATTACTGTTCCTATAACTCTCTTTAAATTTTCTTTTGAGTGTTACATTCTGCAATAATTTATCTGTGGTTTGTACCTATGATTAGAAATTTAGTTACAGGGTAAATAGATCAAATTAAAAAAATCCAACTACTGTAGCTGGAAGTTGTGAACCAAGTTTGTAAGACCTTTTCTTTTTTTTTAATGTATTTATTTCCAGTTAGCTCTGTGAGTTGGAATTTGAAAAGTCAGAATATTAGGAATCTACAGTGTCTTATTCAGGAATTTTTCCCCTCCTTTCCTCACAAAGGAATTCCCACTGTGACTTATAAATAGAATTAGACTGCTTGTGTGCATGTATGTATTATATATACACACAAAAAATATGCATTGGGGGGGATGTATGTGCGATACGAATGTGTATATTGTATG